CCCCTCCTCAGCTGTGCTCTGCCTCTCCCCATCTCTCTTCTCCCTGGTCCCTCAGCCCACACATAGCTATCTTCACCCCACTGCTCCATATCCCTTGGTCCTTTGTCTTCCTCCTTTGAGGGGGCTCCCAGGGTAAGCTGGGTGGCAAAGGGTGAACCTGGGATGGTTGCCTAGGCAATAAGGAAAGTAGGACAAACACCGACGAGCAGCAAGGGAAGAGGAGGCGCTACAGAGACTTAAAGCCTGGAGCCTCTTTCCTTAGATTCATCCGTCATCCAGCCTGATGTCCGTCAGAGGAGCTGGTCTAGCAGGAAGCTCAGGCGGACTCCCTCACAGCCATCTGCTGGCTCTTGCCCAGTCCGAGCTGCTTCTCTGCAACCTGCCTCCCCGGCTCCTGACTTCTTCTCTGCATGGCTTCTTTCTCAGTAGCCCCAGGGGAATAGTCTTTCCAAAAGACTAACCCCATGGGGGAGCCCCAGAGAGGTAATACCTCGAAGGACGAGGGGCCAAGGCAGACAGGGCCATCACCTAGGCACAGTGCCTCAGGCTATTTATGAGTTGATGAACAAGACACAGAACTTACCTCCACCCAGTGGCTATTTGGCCTTGTTGAGAAGGAAAGACCCAGGAGGCCTGCTTTCTGAGGGCGTGTGGAGATGCGGGGTCTTGACTACCAAGCCTGGAATTTCCAGGCCTGTAGATAAGAAAGACGTCTAGAGGCTATGGATCTAGGACCCAGGCTGAATCCTTGTTTGGGGACGAATGCCTGGTGTACAAGGATGCCATCTTGCATAGGGAAGCTAAGAGACTAAGGCACAAAGGTCTTGGGACCAGGCCATGGTGGAGCTGGCGTGACCCATGAACTGGGACCTGAATGAAAAGCCCATTGTGCACAGGCCCTTTGGTGTGGCACTCCCTGCCCTCCCTGCCCTCCCTGCGTCAGGTTCTGACTCTAAAAAAGCCTGAGCGCCTGTGGCCTAAACTTTCCAAGCCAGAGGACCCCACGGGTGTGTGTGTGTACACACGTGCTGAGGACTCGCTGCACTGCTCAGCAAAAATGGTGGCATGTGTCTGCGCTGCCATCCTCCACGGGTCTCCGAACTCCCAACTTGGCGATGTGACAATGGGTGTAGGCTGACGTGCTAACAAGTTTTTCTGTTGCTTGGTTGAGGACTCTTGCTGGGGCTGAAGGGGATTCAGGCTATAACTGGTTATGAATTATAATGAATTCCTTATTAGTTGGCAATGTGCCCGGGCCCCAGGGGGCTATAAAGTTTCTCTGTTAGTCATGACCTATAAACTCATGGGGACACACTCTTCCCAGCCTCTTATCCTATTCCAAAACACTTCTAAGTGACTAGAATCCACTCTAAGTAGTGACCATTTCCATTTCTCCCTGCAGTGGCCTGTTTACACCCACTGTCTCCAGTCTGATGGGCTTTAGAATGCGGTGCAGTTCCTCCAAGCCCACTGCTCACTTCCTAGTTATGAATGCAGACCAGGTTTCAATTTTAATCGTTAAGGCCCTGCATTCAGTGAGGCCTGAAGACCTCAAGGGGCCTCCCCCACTGCTAAGACTCTAGACTTACTCAGCTATGAGGCATCCATGAGGTTGGTCTTCGGCAAGTTCAAGGCCTTGCTTGCGATGCTGCCTCCTCCTTCATGTCTAGGGGAAGATCTTTATTAATTCTCGGGGGCCAAAAAGAAAAAATGTAGGACCACCTGTCCTGGCACATGTTCACCAGGCCCCCAGCCAAACAATGTGACTGTAGAGCACACCCCCTTTTCTCCTTGAAGAATGCTGACGTTGGCCTGTTTCTACCTGACTGGCTATGGCTTCTTGCACCGATGTGGATGTTTTTTTCCTCCTCCTGTGTTCAGTGGTCCTCAAACTATAGTCTTTGGCCCTAGAGAAGAACCACCAACTGCAAATTCTCTGGCTCCACTTCAGAGCTGCTGAATCAGAAACTCTGGGGGTGAGACCCAGTTATCCATATATTAATGAGTCCTCTAGGGGATTCTAAGTTTAAGAACTGCTGGTATTGTATCTTACCTAAGAGCCCCAGGTAGGAAGCCTCACTTAGTTTTCTGATCCACACTGGAGAACCTGTCCGGGTGCCATGTGGCTTGCCACTACGGTGAGTATCTTCCTAGGGAAGATGGGCTACCTACCTCCCACACTTTGAGTCTGTAACAGTCATCTGACCCCTGGTAGAGGAGAGGCCAGAGGAGGCTAGATTTGAAATCCACTGAATGGCTCTTCACAAGCCCTTTTCTTCTAGAAGGTGAAGCAGGAATTCAGATGGCTCTAGGCATTGCCATAGCAACTGTACCTTTCTGAAGCTGTCATGGACTACAGGAACGGGGCGTAAGCAATGCAGAAGAGGGGGAATCTGCCAGTGGATAGAGCAGCAGATGAGGGTGTGATAAATGAACCTCCGCATGGCTTGGATTTACAGACCTGAGCTCGGCGGGGCCGTGACTTCCTCAGGCCCCAGGATGCATCTGGGACTTCTCTAGGGGTCTTTATTGCTACAAAATATCACTAGCCCAGGGGGCCCATGATGCTGACAGGATATGTCAGTTCCCTCAAAAGATCATCCACCTAGGTTAAATTAGGCTCCTAAATGGTCACAGCAATTAGGAAGGATGACCACTTCTGTTCCCTGTCAGGGTTGGGGAAAGGGCCCCAGCTTTAAGCTTCTGATATAAATCAGATGCCAAGAACTCAGGAGGTACCTTGGGGACTTTAGATGATGGTGGATATTCCAACCTTAAAAGAAATCAACTGTCAACAAGAATTTATATAAAAACAGAGCACCCCACGCACTGTCATGTGGGCAGCTGAGTCCAGCCCTGTGGCTCTCCAGTGCCGCTTATCATCCTCCAGGTGCTGGTACACAGTGGGAGGCTGGGAGCTCGGAGCCTCTCCTGTTGTTGGAGATGTTAACGCTTCTCCTTTGCAAAGGCAGGCAGAGAGGCACAGGCGGGGCCCAGGAGACACTGCCAGACACCACGTGCGCCTCAGCTGGCTCAAGAACATGGCTGTTTTGGTATTTTTAATCTGACCGTTCCTTTGGTTTTGTCTGCTCTGGAAGAAGCAAGCAGTTAATGTGAAGGACTGGGGGTGGGGGTGGGGGTGGGGTTCCGCCCTGTCCTCAGGGTCAGGGTGTAAAGTGTGAGAAGTCAGGGTTGTGGGGGAAGTAAATGGTCGCCCAACAGTGTCATCGTAGACCTCCCATCCATCGTTAGGCACTGAATGTCCCCCAGAACTTTCCATACAGTTACTCTCACCGTTGCCCCTTCTGGCCCTCCAGACAAGCCTGGATCCCCTCTTCGTGAGTGTGTGGGAGACCATTTTCACCAATGTTTTCTTTTACCAGAGCTCCCGCTGGCTCTCCAGGGCCTCAGCTCACTGCTGGTCAGTGTGGGCCTGCACAGCACCTGGGAGCTGCTGTGGGGGGCAAGGCCTCCACCAGGTGTGGGAGGGGGAGCGTTCACACCTGAGGGGAAGCCAGCTCCCATGTCCCTGCTTGCTCTCACCCGGCTGGAGCAATGCTCTCTGTACCTGCCCCTCACGCGGAGTTCTCAAGTCCTCGACACCAAGGAGCTGGGCCTCATGGGGTAGTGCTCCCACGCAAGCTCGCCCTCCTTCAGGGACGGGAGCAATCCCGGGAGAAGAGATGCACGGAGAGGGAAGACCGGGGCAGGCAGTGAGCCCCGCCCCTCTGTCTCGCCCTGGCTGCTCCCTCACGAGGTTTCCATGTGACGCTCTGTGTGTGTGGCTGGGTTGAGCCTGCTGGCTCTACACAGACCTCCTGAGGCAGTGGGCAGGGGTCTGCAGAGATGTGTGTGTTGTGGGGCGGGGTGCGAGAGCCAGCTGTGGGGCCTCTCACTTCATTCCAGTCACTGCCCTTTATAAATATTTATGGCATTTCTTCTACTAAAAATAACATCCTGGAGCCCAGGGAGGAGAAAAAAATAAATGCAAAGCACCGGGAATTGGGATTGCAGATCATGTGCCAGAGCGGGATGGAACCCCGAGCAAGAGAGAGGCTGCGTGAGCCCCGCGCGCGGGCACGGCTCCCCCCGCGGTCCTGGGCCAGGCCGCTGGCCCCTGGCTCTGCTGCACAGGACCCTCTTGCTGCTGCTGCTGCTGCTGGAAAAACCGTCCCGGGCTGCAGCGCAGAGCTCACGGCTCCCCCTTCCCGCCTAGGCTGCTCAGCGGCATCGCATCGGGGCGGGCGGAAGCCTAACCCAGTGTGAGAGAAAGGAAGGAGGCTATTTTTAGCACTCTGACCAGGGCGTAAATGTCTGTCGAACCGAGCGAGGCCTAAAGCTGTCTTTGCACACAGAGGAAAGAAAACCTGTTTGTTTTTAAAGGTCAAAGGTAGGGAGGAAACTTGTACCCCCCACCCTGGGGAGCACCCCACATCCTGGCGAGAAGCCAGCAAGAACTCCCTCAGGTCAAACACACAGGAGACTTGTGTTGTTTCTTTTCTCTTTTCAACCTCCCGGTAGATTCCTGTGGCAGAGATGAGACCATGCCCCAAGGGGAGCGGTGAAGATGCTAGTTCATGCAGGACTGTGCGAGTGGGCCCTCCACCAGTGGGGCATCAGGTGGTCCCTCCCACTTCCCACTGGCTCTGGGCTCCCTCTTCCTGGCTGGTAGTGATGTCTGGCAGCTTGCAAGCCTGATCCAGGTGTGTAGCGGAAAGATGGACAGGAATGCGCCTCTGGGGGAGGACTCTGCCTTCCTCAGGTCGATGCCAGCTTGCTCCACGTCCCCTGTGCCTGTGCAGGACAGATGCACTATTACAGGCACTGCCCAAGGCCTCTGAGCAAATGCTGCTAACGACTGCTGGGGACGAGACAGTGCAGGGATGGGCTGTCAGGAAGCTTCCTTTCACCTCGGGAGATGCAAAGGGCTGACAACACTCACACCTCTTTAGGGAAAGGCACACTAAAAAAAGCCAGAGACCCAGAGTCTCTGGAGTCGTTGCTTAGGTCACCAGGCCAGGAAACATTTCAAGAGAAGGGAGAAAAACTGGGTTTGCAATGTAAGGTTTGGAATGTGCTGGTTTCTTGGGAAGAATTGACTGAGAAGGGCAGAGAGGTCGGCGACTTGCCTGTAAACACTGAGAGGGAGGGAAGAAAGCCTCGTGCTGAAGACAGCAGACCTTAAGGCGCCTCTGAAAATGAACCACCTGAGTTTTTATGCTTTTCATCTGACTCCTCACCACTGGTGAGTTTCTCCTAACTTCTAATAGGGTCAAGAAACAGTGTTAGGAGAAGACCCAGCCCAGATTTTAGTTCTGGCATCAAGCTCTTGGGTCAGGTCATGGGCCTTTGGTTCCCTTATCTGCATGAAGAGGGGGTGGGCCCGCCTTTCCTTGTCCCCCAGTTCCTGTGCCCTGGGGACAGGGTTTCTGGCAGCCTCCCAAAGGGCAAGTCGGCTCCTGACTCCTTTGCTGGCTGGGGCGGCCTGGGGCTGCTGTAAGGAAGAGCCTTGGCGGAATGTGCAGTGAGTGTAGGTAGAAGCCTGCCTGAGCCCCGGGGGCTCTGATTTCCAGGGCAGGGAGAATTTCCGCAGCTTGGGTGCTGCCCGCCATAGCCTGCAGGATCCCTGACTCAGTGCAGGCTCAGAGACGGCAGGTCCCAGGGTGCAGGTGGAACAGGGCCCTGGTGCGGATGGGTGGGGGCGGGTGTCAGGGAAAGGCCCAGAGGCTGCTCCAGGATAGACCACTTGGAAGAGTCTGGAAAAATTCCTTTTCTGGATCATGAGGCTGCAGCCCTGCCTTCTCTGCCTGGAAGTTGGCCTAACTTTGAAACACAAGAAGTAGGGGAGGGGAGGGCAGAAAAGATTGAAAAATAAAGATAAATCTCATGGCTGCACCAAAGGCATCTATCCTTGAAATAACTCTTCTCTGGAACAGATTGGTTGTCCAATTATTTTCATCCCTTCCTTTCAGTGAGCATGCCCAGAAGCTGCAGTATCTTGGAACTGGAACTAGGTAAGAGTTAAGGTCCTGAGATGGAAAAATGTGAAAGACTAATTCCTAAAGTCAATGGGCATTTGCCTGTGGGGAAATCTGTACTTTTATTAATTTTTTTAGGAAGTGAGAAGGTGCAGCATGGCCAGGTGCCACGGGAAATGGCTTGGCTGGCTTTGTGGGGTCAGTGTGATCCTGCATGACAGAAATAGGTGTCTGTGGTGAGGAACTGCAGCAGGTTACAGTTCTGGATGACGGAACCTCAGGGGTATACTGGCTGTGGTTTGCACCCCCATAGAGAAATGACACTGGCCATGGGAAAACAGGGACAAAGAGGCAGAGGCAGCCCCAGGATGTGGGTGGCCCTCAGCCGACCTCTGAGGCCTTGATCCTAGAGCCTGTCCACCCAGCAGATTCTGGTCTGCCAACTGCATCCCGACACAGGTGACACCAAGCCCTGCCTGAGGCCCAGCTCCAGCACAAGACAGTCGAGGCCTGTACCCCGGGCCCAGCGGGTACGCTGGCAGGGCTGGGCAAGGGGAAGAGGTGCAGTTGGGCTCTTGAAGAAACCCCGAACTTGGGTTCCAGCTGCTAGGATGGCTCCGGCCTGGGAGGTGTGACTGAAGAAAGGGAGGAGGGAAACAGAGGCCTTAACTTCGAAGGGAAAGGGGCCGCGGGGAACGCAGAGAACGCTCTGTACTCACCACGCTTCCTCTCTGTCCCGGCTCCTCCGCTAACCTGTGCAACACGGACACAAACAACACACCGAGGTCACAGCCAGTGTCTACTCACCACCCTGGATCTTCTCCCAGGGGCCTCCCTGACCCCCGAACCCACGGGCTTCTGGACTTGCCTCTCCCCTTGCTCTCTGTAGGCCGACTTTCCTGATCCAGCATGAAAACAGGGGAGGGTCATACTACCTACAATCGGCAACCGCAACCGACATAAAACAGCCACGGAGACAAGTGCCTCTCGGGAGAAGGAAATACTAATACTAAAATGGAAACAAAGCCACCTGAACTCTAGGGAGCAGTTACATCAGGGAGGCACACAGCCCATCTGGTCCTGGAAACAAACGAGGTGAAAATGAATGAAACTTCGACACAGGCGGTATTCCTTCCTGCAGACGCATCTGCTCGGGCGTGCTAAATCCTCCTCTCGCTCACCCTGGAATCATGAACACCGCCTGGACCCTCAAACGCCTGTGTCTACACCCACAGAGGGCCATCGCTACCAGTCCACCAGACATGCACATGTTCTTTAAGTGTGCAAACCGGGATTACAGCTCCCAACACCATGGATGGCAGGTTCTGGAAGAAGCGATTCTGAAGAACACAGGGGTGTAACACGAGGCGTAGCTGAGACCAACTTAGGGCTCTGAAGTAACACGAAGGGAGTTCTGCTTGTCTATGTGTCATCTCTGTAGTCTGGTTATAAGCACTCAGCACTGAAGGTGAGGGGTGGGGTGAGGGGATACAAAGTAGAATGGTACCCCGGTAGAGGAGAAGCATTCCCCAGGATGCAGCCAGAGAGCCAAGGCAGGGCAGAGAGAGGCCTGAGAGGCGAATGCAGTCGGGCAGTCCCGCTCGGACGTGACATTTTCAAAAGTATCCATTTGGCTCTCAAGGTTTTTGCATCGAGTAGACTATGCTTGCCTGATGGGGTGCTGACCAAGTTGTGTTTATATTATGTGAACATGATTTCAACCTCAAAGAAGTAAATCTTCTCTCTTTTTGGTTGATAGTTACGGCTCTCTAATGCCCAGGTGACAGTAGCTACTGCACAATCAGTCTATAGTAAAATCCCAAGCCTAGATCATGGCAGAGAATCAGAAAGTCCATCCATAAAAACACTTGGTTTTAGAATTACATCCACATAACAGCTTCATTTTAGCTTCAGAGACATATTCTAAGACCTTTACAATGTTGAAAGTCAAACATTTTTTAAAAAATCGTATCCATTTCTCACCCCAACGCTTAACACTCT